AACTCCCCAACACTAATGCGTCACTTAGTTTGATTTACGTAGCATTGTCCTACCACTGCTAGCCAAATTAATTTAAGAAGACTTATGCTATGGAGTTGTGCAGCTGAAGGACGGGGGCATCCGCTGTGTTCCCATGCCTTTTCTTCCCAGCTGCTGTTCTCCACCTTCACGCTAAGCCCATCCTGGAAGCCAAGGGCAAGAGGGCTGCTGTGGCCCTTTTCCCCATACCTGCTAGGCTTTGATTTTGGAGAAGGGAGGAACAATTAACAACCTACAAACTGAGCTCTAGGGTTTGGGCTTATAATGGAAATGATAACTCCACTCTGTGGAATAACTTCAGACTGCTAGAAAAATGTTTTTAATCTATAGCCATTCACATTTGGAGTCTTGCTAACATCACAGGATCTACCGCGCTTTACAGGTGCCAATGCTGCAACAACTTCAATAAACTTCACCTGGGATCTCTTCCACTCATGTGCCAGCAGTATTGTCTGTCAAATATTAAAGCAGTATTATTTTTCATGTTGAGGAAAATGAGGCAAAAAGAAGGCAAGTGACATGTCATATAGGAAGTACGAGTTAAAAAGACAGGAATAGAATATAGTCACTTTTCACTCTGTGGGAACTGGGAAGAGTTTAAAACACCAAGCAGGAGAATAAACATGTTCCCCTCACAGTCAGGGAAACATTCTTCCTGATTTTAATGTGAAACTCTCTCTGTCTCCAAAGAGGGCAATAGGAAATCAATGAAAATGAATGGAAACAGCTCACTTTGTATCAAATAAAGGTCTATGGAAAGAGAAACAAGACTTTAGGCTTTTTGTTCCTTTGGGTATGACTTGACATAAACCAGCCATTCCCCCTACCTTTCAGAAGCCACATTTACTACTTGCCTTCATAAAAAAGTAGTATTTCCATCCTTCATCAGCCGTATCCTCAGACATACAACGAAATAGAGTGAATGAACAAACAGTGCCCTGTGCACGTGACTCTGGCTTGAGACTGCTATTTTCTAAAATAGACCAAAATTCAAACGAGCACAGGTTTCAGACAATTAAAGGGCAAAGTAAATGCAGGGAACTTGTCTGAAGCACAGGTGTAGTTACGTCCAGGAAATCAGCAAAATAGTTGGCAGGTAGTTTTCACAGCTAACAAATCCAGGCAGTTCTTTGCAAAACTAATGACCGCGAGTATTGGGCAAAAGTTTACAAATGCACCCTACTGTCCTTTGGCACTCTTACAAGTAAAACATGAAAATGATTTTCTACTTGCATATCAAACTAAGATTACTAACCTCGATTAGTTCTGCTATGAGGGTAGCTGTGCCAGAGCTCTGTGGGTTACTTCAAGGTCTTAAAAATAGTCTTTTGAGGAGAGGGGTCATATAATTTTGTGACAAGAAAATCCAACAGGTTCTGTAACTGAGATACCCAATGCTCATAAAATATGGTTGGCTACTAACTCTTTCATTATTTTAAGTAGATAGCTTATTAGGCAGGCCTGGGATTTTGCCAAGTGAATTTGATCCTGGCAACTAAACTACCAATGAAATGGGTTGCTAACGTCAGCCCCCGAGAAGGTGATAGGAATTACAGGATGGAAATCCTGAAATTCAAAGGCTTATCATTAGGAGAACTGTCAGGAAAAAAAAAAAAGATATGCATGACAGCTATTTAGACCGCTTCTGCCTTTTTGTATCATTTCATAGTGAATTCAAGGTGAAATGACTCGGTCATGGGATGCTTACTTTCATGTGCAGATACATGTGTGTACAGACTCACACCTTTTCCTAGGAAGATACCTACTCCTATACGTCCAGGCTAGCAGCTCAGGAGGAAAAAAAAGGATGGGTCGCTTATGCCTCTTTAAATCATTTCATCAATTTTTTTTCGAAAGCAAATGTATTTAATGGTACCGATACCCGTGCTGAATAAAGAATGGCCACGAGAGGGCACACTCCAAAGGCTTTTTGCTCCACGCACGGCAACCTTCCTGCAAGCTCCTGTTTTACCTAATTGGATCCTGAATCCCAGAGATCTTTATGCTTATCTGTAGCTTCTCTGAGTGGAGCTCTTGTTTCTCTCTTCTAGTTTATTTGAAAGGCAGAGATTCACTGGAGTGGAAGACTGTAAGTCAAATAATGCAGGAAGGAAACAGGCAAAGGGGAAAAAGATAAACCGGTGGATGCTAGAAGTTCTGGAAATCTAGAGATATCAGAAATTATAATTATTATTTTTTACAAGATACTAAGAAATGTGACCATGAATCATCATCTGAGCTGATTTTCTCACATTTTTTTTTTTTTAATGCAGTCTCCTTGGCTTTTAGAAAACAAGCCTATTTCCCCTTGATTTTTTTTTCCCCCCTTTGGCATACTATATCAAAGATTTCAAGTTTAGCAAATGAAAGCAAGTTACTTCCAGAAGAAGAAAGCCATTCTGTTTTAATCTGTTTCATTGTAACAAAATGTGAGAAGTCAGAGAGGTTGGTTGATTTGAGAACAACTCGATATAGCACAGACGAATCTGAGAAGGTGGGAAACAGTTTAGAAAAAGCTACCTGAGAGACAGGGAGAAAGTACTGTATGTGTCCATCTCTGTGTGCAGTCATGCATGCAGTTTTGTATGCAAATGCAGATGGGCATATCAGAATATGCATTTGCCTGTATGTGTGTAGAAGCGCACTTATGTCCATATGTATGGGTGTGCCAAGGCAGACACGCTTATATACCCATGGAGCTGTACCTGCATCACTGTAATATGAATAGGTTCCTGCAGATCAGTATGGGCTTTCATGTGCTCTCCTGTGTGCAGGATGTACCTACACTGCATATGTGTAAATGATTCATGCTGAGGAGTTCTTATATCTAGATAAGTTTATATGGGTATGAAAAGGCAATCTCATTTAATGCAACAGAGCTTTGTAAGATTGATTTAGGATTGAAACTTAGTCTACTGGAAGCAATTGGAAGTTTTGCTATTCAATTCAGTGGGCTTGGGATTTGGGCCTTAGTGCATAGAAATTAAACATTTTAATGAAAATGGACTGGTAGCTTCTGATCCACTTAATTTTAGAATTTACAATAGATTATTACAGGTATGTAAAAAAAAATAATAAATTACTCTTTCTCTTAGGAAAGACAAAGACCTGGTACTGTTTTTACCTTGAAATACATTATTAATGCAAGTGACCCTAAACTTTGCTTGAGCTGTTTTAGACATAAATGCAAAAATCAAGTTAACAAAAACCT